TTTGGGCCACTGGAAAGAGTATCTGATCTAAAGTAAATGAGCTCTTTTCATAGTTAAATTAGAGCTTGCTACAAAGCCAAAGGAATGACTGAAGGAGTCTATCTTTCAATTTTCTGTTATCTATTTGCCCTTAAATAAGTCTTACATGAAATGTTTGCCTCCTGTTGAGTTTATTGATTGTGGTCATTTATCTGTCCATCTAACTAGATGAGCCTGGATATGGCAGATTTACCTCTTCATAGTTTACAGTTAATAAAATCCATTGTATGGAATAAATAACTTGCAAAACACTTGGCTTTAGTGATTGCTATATTTGGTAGAGTCTCTTGAAAGAAAATATATCTTTGTTAACACAGCAAAGTAGGCAAAGACTTCCAGGGAAGTGGGATACTTTGCTGTATTTCATTTATTTCACATGAAGATCAATTTTAGCCATTTATAACCAGCACAGTTCCTCACAAGGAGAAATTATCTATCCCACCCACAAATGGATTGCTATTGAAAAGTCTCATTTGATTGCTTGGGAAGGAAAAATACATTATAGGCTATCTAACCCCTATCCTTCAAGAGTAGAAAATTAACAATCCAGGTGAAGTTAACTAGAAAAACACAAGAGGGAGAAATTATATCTGACCCTGTCCTCTTACAACCCAATGCATCTTTGAGGACATCTTTCCTGCATTACGTGCAGCATCAATGTGCTCTTTTTAACTCAGAATGTTCATCCTTTGCCCAAAGTTAAGACATATGATTAGTGTTTTTGAGGAATAGACCTGATGTAAAGGAAAGGGCTAGAAATGTCTAGAAAAAAATGGCAACAAAATGGACCTCTTTATTAAACGTAAATAATTTTAATCTACGGGCTTCCCAGAAGACACCTCATTTAAAAAAAAAAAAAACTATTTTTCAAGCTACTCAAATTCTGGGAGCTAGACACCTCTTTCCCGAGCTTGCTACAATACAGGAGGTCCTGAGGGGTCACTACCAGACCTTTGTTTTTTGTTTTTTGGTTTTTTTTAATAAATTCACTGCCACCTTTGTATTGGGCGGAACTATTCTGCAAACTTGCTTCCACTCTCAACACATCTGAGGGATATGGGACACTCCCACTCCTCTGAGAAAAGTAGCTCCCAGAGAGAGCAGGAAGAAGTCACAGATTCACTCACTGGGTCCTGCCATTGGAGAGGCAGATAGTTTTGATAACCTGACATACACCCCTTGATGGGGAAGAGAGAGTGACATAAGCCTCCACCTCCCACACCCCAACCCCCCCACCTCCACCCCAATAACCCACCCCCCCAGGGTTGAGAACTATGGTTCTAATTGAGCATTCAGTATCCTGTAAGCCTAAGCCACACAGTGTTTCTTGCTCCCAGGTAGTGTCTGACATCCCCCTTAAGCATTCATCTCTGAAATTAAAGGGACCTTTTTTTTTTTTTTAAATTTGCTTCTGAGTTTTCTTTCTAAGAAGAAAAACAAAAAGGACAACACCAATTCCCTCTAGATCAAATGAGCCGGGCCTTCAATACTCCAGGCAGAGGTGGTGAACCTCCCCTGCTGAGGCTGGAATCTCCTTTACAAAGAGGAATCATTTCATTCCATTTGATCCTGTGCAAATGAAATCCCCTTCTGACTTAAATACAGACGCACTAACATGCAGATGCCAGATAATACATGGATCTTTTGTAGGAAATTTGATTAGAAGAACATAGAGGGGCACAGGACAGAACAGGTTGTCAGAGGAGAGACAAGACTGAAGAAAAGTAGAAGGGAACACCTAAAGGATGCAGCCTCCTTCAGAATTCAGTTCAGATAAGTTCTGGCAGGTAGAGACAGACTTTTCCAAAATTGTCCAAAAAAGAGAACTAAGACATTCAGAGGTAAGTTCTAGTTTTGGCCCAAATATTTTCTATAAAATTTTAAACAGATTCCAGCCATGTTCTTCAAATCTAGTTCATGTTTATTGCTGAGCAGGAAAGTAAATTCACAAGATGAGAGCTCTTTTATCTCCCCTGATCAAGGTTAATTGTTTGTATATTCTCAGACTAAAAGACAGGAATAGTGGCAGCACATGGATTTCTGTGCATCTTTTTAGATTCTGTAAGTCTTGTGCTGCTGACCTGCAGGGGTCATAAACTTTCCTAAAATTTCCTTTCATTCAAGTCATAGCATTTGGCTTAAAAAGATGATTATTTTTCAAAATGGAACGAATCCCAATCTCTAATGCTTTGTTAATCATTTCTTTGATAACTATACTAATATTTCATGTCAGTCCTAGCATGTGGGGTATAAACAGAAGTTATCCATATTGTAAAGTGGACCATTTTTTATCCCAAGAGCAACTATCATTATTTCATAATTAAAATCACTGTGGAGTGCTAGCTGGAGGTCGTATATCAATCATCAAAGTGAATTAATGAGGCACACAATAAATTGGAATTATCTAATTCGCATTCATTTGGTTTCAGGTTCAACTGAAAGACTGGCTGAGCACCTACACCCTCTCACTGACTCACTTTTGAATGAGATCAATTTTTTGAATTCAGTAGCTTGGTTAATAAACAGATTTATTTCCTGAGGGTTAAATGTGTGCTCCCACCAGTGTACTGATGGTGTTAGTTATGACTTCTACCATTACCAGCGCCCCCCACTGGCCAAATATAACCCACTTCCTATGGTCAGTCAAGAGTAGCCAGAGCAGCCTCCTGGAGTGCTGAGCAGTAGCTCAGGAGCTGGCCTAGAAGCACTGAGAGGATCAATAGTAATCCTATCCCCTGGTCAGATGGAGTCCCTCCAGAATTATTCAAAACAGTAACAGAATCAGCCAGTGAGTAAGGAAAGAACAGAGGAGAAGGAAGCCAGGTCCAGCCTATGCAAAACAAAACTCCCCTCTCACCTTCAGATGGCCTGAAGTTTCCTTCAGCAGCCCAAGGAACCAAAGGTCCTGACAAAACCCTTTAACTGCATTTTCTCTTAATCAAATATACCTAACAACCTAACATGGTATTACTATTATTACAGTATTATTCTCACCATCTTACAGACAAGCCGACACTGTGGTAGAAATTAATGTAAACAAGCTTTGAAAACCTCAGATAAGCTCATTATCTCTTCCACCCCACTCCTCAAATCCTTGCCTACTTTTGGCTGGACACTACAGGTAGGGGACAGATTCATAGGTATTACTATGGGATTTGATGGCAATGCACATTAACATATAAGAAGAAGGTCAGAGAAAGGAGGAGATCGTTATTAGAGTTTTCCTCTAAGTATTTCTGAGTCATAGTCACTGAGTTAAGAACTGAAAAGGAATGCTTTGGAGCAAGCAAAGAGGAAGGTCAAATCAGCATGGGGAGAACAGTTGGGGAAATGGCTGAGCTAGACAAGACCCCACAGCAGAAAAGGCCACCCAGCACAGAATTGGAACCTCTGGGAAGGATCTGAGACTCCAGGAGGTGAGAGAACCCTGGAGAATCCTGGCTGGGCACCTTGCCTCCAGGAAAGGAGTCCATCAGCCCAAGAGAGATTATTGGCAAATGCTTAGCTTCCTTTGAGGGTTTCAGAAGACAGAGGATGAGGGCACCTTTGGCTGTCTATTTGATCCTGTGTCCTCTCACTACCAAGAGACTGAGCCTAATGTCCTCACTACCAGGAGACTGAGCCTAATGTCTTGCTCAAATGTCTGTGTGCTCTCTGGGGCCTGTTTGTGCCTCTCCAGTATGCCTCAGACACAGAGAGCTTCTACTCAATAGCCTCCTCATTTGAGGAAATTTCATCAAACTGAAATTGATGAAAGCTGCCTCTTAGCATTCTTTCCTCTAAACTAAAGGAATTCATATAGCGGCTGCACAGCCTCTCAGGGGATGTTGGAGAGGATCCAGCATGAGATGTGGACCAAACTAGATGGGGCCCCCCAAGATATCTTCCAAACCAGAAAGCCTTTGATTCAATCTCTTTCATCTTTTTTTATGAAGTTTTCTATCACTTGTTCATTTTTGTCACTATGTCTGTCATCTGTCCAACTTTAAATTTAATATGCATGGGAATCGTTTCTCACAATAAAAAAAGAAGCCTCATTAATTCAGGTTAAGTTGGAAAAAATCAAGTCCCACTGAGTAAGAAATCAGAGTGAAAAGTATTTTCAATTTTAAAAAAATATGCCTGTTACAAAAGACTACAAAATGGATATTAATAAATAAGATGAGAAAGTTAATGAAAATGGTGAGTTACAATAACTATTTTTATAGCACTTTATACTTTTCAAACTGTTTTTACATATAGTATTTCATATTGCCAATTTTATTCAACATATAAATTCAGTGTATAAGTAATAGATCATCAGACTTAAATCAAAGTGTCTTGATTTATCCTGTTAAATTTGAGCTATTAACTCAATAAGAATTATATGTAATTATTCCAAGTCTGCATTGGAGCAGTTTGAATTAATGAGGTTCTGCTCTATTGTAGTTATAATAAGCCTGACAATTTTATGGCCATCTTATCTCCCAGAGTGTCACTCCCATCTACGCTTTAGTAATAAATACTGTTTCTTCACACAGGAACTTTTGTCACAACAGAGCATCTCACCTTAGAGAAGTCTCACCAAGTAAATTATCTCATACATACCTCAAACACCGATGAAACATGCTGTATGATCAATGTGCTAAGTATTCATTATTCTCTAAAAATACTTGCTTTAATTAAAAATGAGCCTTACTGAGGATATCATTCCAAGATGGTAAAGGACCCAATATGTCACAGACTTACCATTTTTCTCTTTATTTGGGGAAAACAGTTACGATTGATCCAATTGATTGTAAATAGTAGAATTAAAACATACGTAGAAACCCAGACACAGAATCCCCCTTTTGAGGAACCTGGTGACACAGAAAGGGTCTACCTATAGGCATCCTCATCTTCACTTTCTTCTTTAACCTCCGCTTGGAGTCAACCATTTACTGTCCTTTCACAAGGATCAGAAAGACAATGCCTTTACCTACCTTAAAAAGTCTTAAAATGTTAGCAACCATGATGGACACGGAGCTTGCGGCAGCACCTATGACTCCAGAAATCTTGTCGGGCTTGGTGAAAATGGGTGGATCTCCATTAGCGCACTTCACGTCAGAAGCGTCTTTTTCTATTAATGCCTGCACAAAGGTTAGTGACTGCTCCAAAGCATAGGTGTCCCTGGAGCACGTATCAAGGATCCGGACGCCCAGAGTAATATTGGAGAGGAGATCAGGGTCCTTGTTAATCTGGTCGATTGCATAAAGCATGGCCTCAAGTCTGTGGATCCCCTTTTCCTTCTTCAACTCCCCACAAGGCACCCCTCTCTCTCCCTTTGCATGTACAGGGAAGAGACCCCCCAAAATGATGTCCCCATCCACTCGTATGGAATGGGCATACTCTTGGCTGTGAGTTCTTTGCATCATTGTGAGGATCCAGTAGAACTTGGCGGTCAAGAGGAAGAAACAAGGGCAAGAGGCTGATCGCTTTCCCTCGCATACCATTTTCTCCACAAGTGGTGTTGCAATCCAAGACCCAAAGTTTATTCTTGCCACAGAAGACGGGGGACCACCTGAGGCTGCACCTTCTGGAGGCTACCATCAGGTCCCATGGGGGAAAGGCTCTGTGGGTTTCAGCAAGTTGTCTTGATGTGAACTTCACAGTGAAATTCCATCAGACTCTTAAGGTTCAGTTTTACCCCATAGAAAGTCAACTTGCCTGGAATGATGTGAAAATTAGAATAACATCTGAGGTTCTGATGTTGGCATGAGGTCAACGATTCACGTCCTTGAAGTCAGCCCTGTAGCAGAATTATTCCTGAGGGTAGGGGGAGGGAAGAAAGGGTGTTCAGTTTAGTGGAGCTGATTTTCGTATATTTAAGCCCTGTCTAAACCAACCTCTTTTTTTTTTTTTAATTTCCCCTATTCAGTAAAAAACTAATTCTTTTTGTCCCCCTGTGATTCTGAACACCTGGCCACACTGCATCTAAACAGGGAGATTGATGACACTTTTAGAGCAAGAGAAACTGAAAAGTATCAGAAACTAGGTTGATTCTCTCAAGACAGAAAGTATTTTATTTATCATTTTATTTCAATAAATCCTATTTCCACACAGCTAAATACCCTGTGATGAATGGCATTATTTCTTTGCAATTTTATTTTTACTTTTTACAGCTATTTGAAGTCAGCATTTAAATTCTGTCCACAAAATCATAATGAAAGGTGGTATATTCAACAAGCCAGTCATCTGTTAATGACATTTTTTTTTTTAGTGTCCCAGATTTCCCAGTGGGTAAAAGTGATTATTCAATCACAAAAAAAGAAAGAACCTACAAAGATCTCAAAATATGTAAGTTTTATAGCTTGTGAAAATTTTAACATAGAATACCAGCTTTTTCCTGTAAGCCATCTTATCATTTTCTCATAACAAAACAAAGACTTGAAAATTAAACACAAAGGGAGGGTTATATGTGAAGATCTTCCTATTACCATTGTCAGAGTTCCCAATTAATTTGTCAGAGCATGCTTACAGTTCTGAAGTAAATACGCCTTGATCCTAGAATCACGAGGAGCACTTCAGAGCTGGAGATCAATTGAAAACCTTCTTAATTTTGTCTGACTCAGTAGGGGAAACAGTTATTTCATCAAGACTAGAAATAACCTAGAGTGAAAAAGTCTACAGGCAAATCTATAGAAAAAGTTTATTCTAGGGCCTTTGTCCTTAAAGAATTCCAGGAAATTCTTTCAAAAGTCTTTTGAAGAGGTTTAACTGAAAAATGAGAACTGACTTAACATAGGGAATGGGAGATTTGAAATGTACAGATAATTAAGGGAATAAACAGGACCAATTTATTTTGGCAGGATGGTTAATCTAATGCTCATTTCTAACCTATTTTATATATGAGTTTGAAACCTGAAATTTGGCCCATTTCCCTCTACCCTAGCTAACCAACATCTGGTTGTATTTTCCATTCACTTGTTCAGGTTCCAGTTCATAAAATTTTCTTTCCATCCTCCTTGTCCCAAAAGGAAGGATGGTGCCTCCCTAGGGGACAACTGAACAGATGCCCAAATGCCTTCAGAGAAAGGCTTTTTTTTTTTTTTTCATTTTCAGATTTGAAAGGGGTTCTTAGTAGGCCTGTTGAGCTGTATTTCTGAGTGTCTACCTGGAGCCTGGCCAACCAGGGCCCACTCTGCTTAGTTCTATGCTGCCTGCCACAAGTATTGCTGTCTCCTGGCACATGGTAAGCCTTGGATGTCTCTACACTGCCCCCCAAAACTTAGTCCTCTTCTGTTTTTTCTCACCACTCAGTTCTCCTAGCAGCCATTCTCCCTCTAAAAATCTGATTCCACAAGAACCTGGCCTCAAGTATTCCACCAAAGGAAACACTTGGAAAGTCTTCTCAGCTTTCTGGATGAGTCCATTTAAGGTATGGACCATATACAACCCATCAAGAGAAGTAAGACTGTGTTTTACAGTTTCACAGGGAAGATCAGTTTTATGATGGTAAAACCTCAGTAACTCTGACCACTTATTTAGAAAATGAAACCAAGTCCCCATGGCTGGAATGATGTCCCATACATTCTTTTCTGATAGAATCAAGAATAAACAAATAAGGTGAAGGGGAACAGATAGAATCTGTTCTCCAAAGATCAGCTTTCCTTCCTTATGCCACCTCACCCCCCACATCCTCAAACACTTAAGAGAATAAGTGGTTTTCAATTATAAATGAACATATAAACAATCTATCTTCTAATCACAAAGCATCCTTACCTACGATGCAGTCCTGAAAGTAATAAATATGAATTTCTTTAAAATGTATTGGTGTTTGTAATAATGTTTAGTCTCTTTAGCATCTCCTAGGTCTGTTTGGAAGTTTAATTTAAGGAAAAGGTCGGGGAATGGAGAGCAATGAAGCAAGAATCTTTTGGTTTAGTGAGTGAATGCATTGAAATGAAAAACGAGAGGTTCTGTTTGGGTTATAAGTTTATTAGACAGCTCACTTCAGTTTCTGCTTGAGTTTCCTCCTCTGCAACATAGAATTAATTGCACGCAAGCTCTCTAGCACTTGATTTTCTTGCCCATAAAGGAGCACATGGTAAACACAGAACCTGGACAGGGGACATGCTCAGTTAACTGCAGCTTTACCATTGCTAATCTGGTTTCTAATTCCTTTTCTACTAAAACTGAGCAACTTTTTGTGGTTTTGTCCAGTTGGTAAGGTTTTTGCTGAATTTTGCTTGTCATTTTAAAAATAAAATCAGAGCTACTTACAAAATATTTGAATACTGCAGTTATTGCAGAGTCTGATACATTGCCATGAAAATCACAGATGGCTTGATAGCTAGAAGTTTTAGTTTCCCTTTTAAATTCTAAGGAAAAATATATATATGAAAGTTCATGAAAAACCTTGTAACCGAGGTTTCACTGTACGATCTTACATTGCCTAATCTTGCTCTTATAGCACTCTTGTGAGCTTTAATCCAAACTCATCCCAGTTGGAATCAATGAATTTTAAAGAAATAATGACCTTTCTGCACTATAGATCCAAATAGCTCTGCTTCATGTTCCATGTTTGATTTTAAGTAACTGACCTTTTTCTGGGGCTGGAAGGAACTGGCCTATGCTGATGGACTTTATCAAGGGGGTTTGAAGACTGTCCTTCTGAAAATGACCTCGGAGAAGAAGGGATACTCAGCACTACTCCTGGGCCCCCAGGGAGGGGCTGTGCAACCCTGCAGGCAAGCTTACCCTTGATCCCTCCTAGTCCTTCCCGTTCACCACATTTCAATCCACTCCAAGTACACCATACATTATACATCACCAGCCGTTCCACTGATGTTCCTGTGGGCCTGGTCTCCTTGGGGGAAGACACCCCATATGGAACTTGAGCCTGTGGCTCCCTAATGGTGTTCTAGCTGTTTCTTGAAAGACCAGTAAAGAGAGCTCAAGTGAGCCAAAGTCCTGAATTCTGCTTCTTTTTATTTTCTCTGTATCTTCTTTTCCAAAGTCTGAGATACTGACCTAAAATAGAATCTCAATGAATTTCCAAACATTGATCATTAATTCTTATATAAATGAGAAAAGAAGGCTCCAAAAGGTTTATTATAGCCCCAAGTCTAGAACTTGCAAGTTATAGCACCCTCAAAATCCTCAGGCCCCCAAGGTGGGTACTATTCTTTGAGAAATCCCCCAGTTCTGCAGAAACTGGCCATGGCAGTATGAGAAGGTGAGAGTCCTGCCCTTCTGCTGAAATATTTCAATACTGTATATATCTTCAGTGATCAGCTCTTTAAGAACAACAATGTGGGAGAATCTGGGGACATTCCAAAAGAGTGGTTTTTTAATCTCTCAAAGTGTTGGAAATAACCAGTTCTGTTTATCCAAATACCTGTACTTCAAATCTGGCTTCCTGGCCAGGTTGGTGCCAAGGGGAACAGGACCACAGCCACACACAGGGTCTATCGGGGTCAGCCTTTGTGTATTCCTCCAAGAGCAAATTAAGGTATGACACGGTAAAATCCTTGCTGAGAAATGTCATTAGCCTAGAATCATAATTTTTTTCTTATTAAAAAGGCCAAAGCATTATTCCTACACTGCATGCCATTCAGCTCTTTAACAAAAAGGTTAAGCTAAATGTTGTCACCAACTCATCAAATTGCTAAACCAGAAGTTTCACGTGAAACTGCCCACACTTGCAGCTCTTTCTGGTTGTTGAAAAATGCATTACATTTCTGTACCATCTCCCAGGCTGCTACTGTGTGCCCCTTGGTGGGGCAGACAGAGTTCTCCCCTGGCAACCAAGGCCTGGAATTGAATCCTTGTCTGGCAGTCACTGGCTGGTGACACGGAACATGTCACTTCATCTCTGTGGTGCTTCCATTTCCTCATCTGTGAAATAAGTGAGATAAACCATACAATTTCTAAGGTGTCTTCCAGCTTCCCACTTTGAGATTCTCTTATTTAATGATAAGGGACAATGAGATTGTGCTCAAACATCAGAGCAAGGCTTTTCCAAGTGAATACAATCACTGATTTTATTTGCAAGCTGAATGACTTTTTTCCCATCAGTGAAAGAGGGCTGTGAAAGCTCCTCTAGACAAGCAGTCCCCATATTAAGAAAATCTGAGCTGCAAGAAGCTCAACTTACTAAACAGATAAATGAGAAGGTGATTATTTGCATTACAAAAGAATTCACCACAGGTTTTCTTTAAATAGCTAAATCCCATGTATTTGAAGTGCATTCTGATGTAGTAGAATTTAATCTGCACCTTTATTTTTCCAATAACAACTATTGCATGAAAAGACCATATTTAAAGAAATGAGAAGCCACTTTTATAGTATACAACAGGTAAGAAGAGAGAAAGGAGTTGAGACTAATACTTACTGAATGCCTATGGTATGCCCGAAGCCTTACACATCATCTCATTTCCTTTCTAAAGTCTACCTGAGGTTGGGGTCTGAATATGAGGACCTGGAAACAGATTATACGTCTGTTTCTAAATTCTCAGGGCTGGGTTCAAATGCAGTATTCACCTTTGCCTCTCTCCATGCCTGCTAGGTGCAGGAGACCCTAATGGTTATGGAGCTAACCCTACTTTGATCATTTGGGGTGTAAGTAGGATATTCGGGGTCCTAGAAGATCCTTATTCTAGTCTCACTCCCCACAACTGTGTTGCATTGGGCAAGTCACTTATCCTGGTTTCTTTGTTTTAAAATGGGGAATAATTTCCGACCATCTTTCAGGCTGAGAAACCAAATGACATACTGTGTGTAAAAGTACTTTATAAAAGTGTTATAAGAATGTACAGGGATGCTATTAGTTTAGCCATCAGCCCTAGAAATAAAGTATTTTCTGGTGTATTATTACTTGAAAGATCTGAGAAGACCACTTTTCCATCACATGCATAGCCAGTCAGACATTAATGACAGTCATGTGTCAAGAATTAATCTTGGAGAGCCCATACTGAGAGCAGAGACCTCAAAGGAAAACTAGAGGAAAGGACATATAAGGAAGGTGCATGGAAGTACAATATCTGATCTGGGGAAATGAAGGTCATGGGCACTTATGAGCATCCAAAGGACTATTCTTAAGGAATTAGTGATCAGGTAGCCTTTGTAGCAAAAAACAGGACAATAGGAAACCTTTCTAAAGTGTAAGAAGAATGTAATGCTTCTACCACTAGGGTTTATTACACTAGAAGAGCCAGCCAATAAACCATCTCTATCTTTAGGCCTAATCCTGCCAGGAAAAGTAAGAAATTAGCCAACCCTATTCAACAACCTCCACACACTCCTCTGGGGCTTCTCCTACATCTTCCCACTTCCCCTCACCTGCTCTGCCTTTCTCAGAGCTGAATCTCTTCCCTCCCACAGTGCTGGCATGTCCCATGGTTCATGACCTCAAGACCTTGCTCTCTCATTACCTGTGTACTCCCCAGGAAGTGAATTCATCAGCAGTCATCAAAACTTGAAGATGCATTCCTGTTCCTCCCGATTGGAACATCTGCAGTTTAAAGATGATTCCTAGGAAAGCCATAATTCCTTCACCAACGATAGATCACCATTAACAGTAGTTAAGACTGGCAATGTAACAAACCAAAGCAAGGGAGCAATGAGTCAGGCACCTTCTCTCAACAATGCTCCTCAAATCACTCCAACAGCAGTACCCACCACTCATGAGGTGGGTCCTGGAATGAGATAACACTATACTCAAATCATTGCATGGGTTTGTCATAACTTGTCAAATCACCAAGAAGAAACTAAAATAAAATATCTTTGAGGAAAAAAATTTAAAAGAAAGGGAAAAAAAAAGAGAAAAATAAAGCCCAAATCTAAATTTCAAGCCGAGAGAAATCCTCTCTGGAGATGGAAACAATATTGTCCAGCTGGCTGTCTGCTCACAGCCTGTCCTGGAACAACATGGAGTAACCTTTCCTACTGGGCAAATTACTTGTGTGAATCTGGTGATACCCAATCAGGTACTATCAAGAAAACGGCAGCAGTTTTCAGAACCTTTGCCACCCAGCTTGTTCAACAGGCATGGCAGCCAGCTTTGGGCTGTGTGTGGGTTCCATCCATGCAGCATCTTCTTTTAAGACATTGAGACAGAGCAATGCTACTCCCAGACTAAAGCAAAGTTCTCCTCATGTTGGGCATTCTAACTACAGGCAGCAGGCAGCAGGAAAGAAACTTGGAAGGAAAAACATCATCACTGTCATAAGAGTGTGTGTACAGCATTCTGTGCATCATGCCCTGAAGACAATGGAACGTTCTTACACAAAGATTGGCACATGATGCTACCAATGTGAATGTCAGCTGGGTTATTTGCTGCATAAATACCAATTAAATAAGCCCCAAAGCAGCTTCAACCTGCCCAGCCAAGTTTGAAAAGAGCACATCTCTCCAGACTTCTAACTTTCTTCTGCACTCATTGGAGCTTAGCTCTTTCTTTTTTCTACTCCTTTTGGACTTGGATGCCTTTAGAATTATTCAGGCAGCCATAACTTGCTAACGGGGACATAATAGGGCAGAACTAGCTAGCACAAACCAAATAAAACAAATTGAGCCTACATAACAGTATTGAGTTGTGTTCTCAGCATTTTTTTTTTCTTTATTCTGGGTAAACATCTCCTAGAGAGCTTCCCCTCATCGAATTATTTCCACATCCCATATTTAAAGGTAAAAATTCTGTCTTTATCTTACAAATGGTACAACCTGTAGTTGACTCTGAAATAGGAAAATTGCATTAGAAATCATTTCCCTGATGAATAAAGCTTTTCTTTTCAAAATTATCAACCCATATATTTTCAAGAACCAGAGAATGAATTTCACACAGTGATTCTGTTTCCTACAGAAATATTCCAAGATATTATTCACAAGCAAGTGACCAAGGTAAACTAAAGTGGTTTCTGTAGCCATTTGCAATTATTGACGAACAATTTTATAATGGAAAATGGAAATTATAGTCAAGTATAATAAGCTGTTTATCCACGATCTACCTGCTGGTGTCTCTTTTTCTCTTTTTGTTTTTCTTTCAAGCAAAATACAAGCTATCATCAGAATGCTTTTCTCCTGCTTGTAATTTTTCTTGTAAATACCACCACAAACCATATCTTCCAGTTGTGTCAATGGGCAAGATTTGTATTCAATCGTGATAGTAGCCCAGACTCTAGTGTATTAATGGACATTCACCAGACTCCCACACCATCAGGTCTGTGGGAAAGGATCACCCCCAATTGGCAAACAAGACATTCCCTCCTGGAGTGGGACTTCCTTGAGAAACTGAGGGTTTGGGGCTTTTGAAATCTGTGAGTGGATCTATTTTCATCACATTAGTCTGGGTGTGCAGACTAATGTGACCCCGGGTTGCCCGATTTGGGCCACTGGGGAAGCAATTCTTCAGGGGAACGAAGGGGTGCTGTCTTGCGCAATTGGGTGACTCGCAGGCTCCTCTTTATTTCATTTGCACCAAGGAGCGAGCCAGACCAGGGGGTGCGGAGGAGGGGCGACTTTGTTGATTTGTGCGTGTGTGTGTGTGTGTGTGTGTGTGTGTGTGTGTGTGTGTGTGTTTCTATTATATTTTTCACTAACTGTATGAACCTCAAAGGATCTCTGAGCTGTTTGACAGAACAAATGGACTTGCTCATCTGCAAAGCTGAGAGGTCTATCTCTTCTCTATCTCCGACTCAGACAGCAGCCACTCACCCCGCCCTGGGTCCCCTCTTCCCCGCTGCATCTTCCTTTTTCTTCTCAGTTCCTTGGTCCATAGAAGCCCAGTTTGGGTAGAATCTAGGGCCGAGGGGAAGTACCTGGTGTTTCTTGCTTTCCTGATGCATCTCCGGGGCAGTCCTTGTCCCCCAGTGCGCCGGAGGAACCCTGCCTCTGATAGCAACCCGGCCAGGAGCGCCTCCGCCCCTGCCCCCGCCCCCGCCACACCTGGCCGCCCCTAGCGCCCACACCCCGCGCTAGTCCATGCGAAACTCGGGCTGCTCTGGCTGTAGATCTGCCGAGGAGCTGTCGGGCGCGTTTGCTTGTGAAACTCAAGATCCCAGAGACCTTTCCTCTTCCCCCACCCCCAACAGGGGGCACGGAGCTCCAGTGTTTCCCGAGAGCCATAAAACGGGGCGGGGAACCGGGGGAAACACGGAAATCCCAACCTCGCGTGGTAACTCAGAGAACGCAAACTCCAGGCAGAGCGTGCGCCACACGGGGATGCGGGTCTCGAGGACCCCCACCGCCCAGCATCCCCAGCGACCCCCATCTTCCCTAGACCCTGGTTAGACATCCATCTAGCCCAAGCTCAGGAAGGCGGGGGGATTACCCCAACTCATCCCAGAAGCCGCCAACTTCGGAAATCCCTCGCTTTATATTGGCAAAATGAAGGTACCTCGTCATCTCGGCGGGGCAAGTCCGGATTCCGCCAGGGCAGGTCCAGGAGGTCACCCAGGGCAGACAATCTGAAGCAGAGCGATTTAAAATCCTGCCGCCGAACGCCCCATCAGAGCATCCCAGGCGCGCCTGCCCCTTTCCCGTCACCCTTCAATCTCCCATTCGCCGACTAAACTTTTGGGGGATCACATCTTCAAGCCCTAAGAGTTCCAAGCTAAGCCTCCCTCTATTCTGAACCTCTCCACTGGAATGTAATCATGGGAAGACAAGAGGGGTGGCTGCCTTGTTATTTGCAACGTAAAATCAACAGACACCCAATCAAGCTCCAATGCCCGGCCAGCCCCTCGCCCCCTGGTGCCCACTCTCCCTCTCTCCCCATTCTCATTTCTTCGCCCACCAGATCTCTCCCAGACTCCGGGTATGCAAGGCCATCTATTTGTGCCCAGGATGAGCAAATCACTAAAGTGATCTGAGAAGGAACAGTGCACCTGGCTGTCAGCTGAACGGTTTTAGGGAGAAAATTATAAAGGGTAACAAAATAGGAGGGGGGCTCCTTTTTCAGCAAGCTCCACGTTTGAGGGAGTTGGGGGGCTGAGGGCTTTTTCTTCCTGTGGTTCTGCACTTGCTTTCCTCTTTTCCTCTGTCTGCTGCTCGGCTTGGAGTCTTACCCTGCTCCCCGCAGAGGGCGCGGTGTGGAAGCCCGCGGGGGGCCCGCAGCTCCATGTCAGCGCCGCCGCCGTCGCCGCCGCCGCGCGAGGCGAGCACCGCGGCCGCACTTGTGGCTGATCTCGGGGCTGAGGGGGCTGAGCTGGCCGAGCCGCCTCCAAGTCTCTTCCATGTGAATAACAAATACTCCCACCGGCGGCCGCGATTGGTCTGCGCCCGGCGCCTCCCGATCCTCCGCCCGCGGCCATTCACCCGGCGCGGTGCGGGGAGCCGCGGCCGGGATCGCGCCCGGGATCGCCAATCGCTTCGCGCCAACTAGTCACCTCGGGAAGCCGGAGGAGGAACCCCGAAGGGCGGGAGCCCTGGATTTCGATGTCACCGTGAAGCCCCGGCGCGGACAGAGGCAAAGATACTCGTGCATCAGGACCCCCTCTGCGCCTCAGCCAGAAGCGACGCGGGGACCAGAAATATCAATAGTTTTGATTTTCACAAAATCACCCCTACTTGCCCCGCCCCCATCAAAAAAGGGGGAGGGCCCAAAGATTGCGGGGAGAGGGGAGCGGGAGCCGGTAGGAGGAACGTGGCTGTGGAGGAGCGGAGCGCCTCCAACTGCCTGGCGAGCCCGGGGCCCCCACGGGAAGGAGCGGCACGACGCCGACGCGGAGCACCGCAGTCGGTCCAGCAGTGCAAAGGTCCGCCCGCCTAGCACGGCTCCGAGCAGGGTCACTTTGAAGAATACATCACAGATGACAAGTGTCCCGCCACACACTTTCTTTGTGGGGAAGCTCAAAGTAGATCCCGCAAGCTAGGCGGTTTCCCGCCCCCGCAAAGTTTGCCCCCCGCCGCGTTAGCTTTCCGCCATTTATCCCGCCCGGTGTCTCCCGCGACCATCTCCCCCACACCCCGTCCCCGAGTGAACCAGGACAGATTCTATTGAGCCCCTGAAGCTCGAGGTTGGATACGTATGGTCTCACTATGGGCACTGCTCAAGAAGGGGCACAGGCGGTACAGGCGACTGTCGTTTTATTGAGATGATTCTAAGAGCCGCAGACGCGGCAGGAAAACTCCTGAAGACACCGCGGGGTGCGGGGAAACCTCGGGATTCCCTGCGCCAAGCCGATGGGAGCCCGCCGCGATTCCTGTGCACAGTCCAGCTCCCCTCCCCTCTAGTTATGGCTCAGCCACCCCCACCCGCACCCGCAAGCGCGAAAGAGTGAGAGAGCCCCTTAGCTGCCCGGCGCCCGAGGACCTGCGGCCAGCCAAGCCTTGTGTTGGTGAGAAAGTTCCATCTAGAGGCGTCCGTGCGCAACTGCAGCTCCAGCCCGAGGCCGGGAGCCTGCGAAAGGGGGCAGCGATGGGAGAAAGTGGCACAGCTGGGAGATAAGGGAGAGTGGAGACAGACGGGAGAACAGACTGGAGCAGGACGGTCCTCTTTCCCCATTGGGAATTCCTAAGCATAGTGAACTTCATAAATACCAGGACAGTAACATTCATTAATTCCTGTATGTAGTTATTATCCTGTTCAAACTTCTTTAATTTTCACATCAACTCTGTGAGATGATCAAAATTATTAATCCTACTCCACAGATGAAGAAGGAAAGCTAAGCTTATGGACGCGGCTAGAGAGTACTAGAGGCAGAAATCAGTTTCAGAATCCCATAGACAACTTTTTCTCTGGCGCTGTTGCTTTTTCCAAGACCATGATTAGAATGTAAAGTTTTGGTTGAGAAGACAGTTGTGTCTTTCCTGGTTTCCTAAAGCTAACCTCACCCTGTGTCACTTAGAAAAATCTACAGGTTTCCAGCCCAGGGAAACTTCTCCCTTGGTTGGTTCCCTTTCCTACCTCCATAGGAGAAATTACCTGTGTGTAGAGTCATCTTTTATGGCCACAACCACCTGGAGGGAAGAGGACAGACTTAGAGAGATATATGCTCTCTGGCCCCCAAACCTTCCTGTATAAGGAATCTGAGTTCTTTTGGGAATATACAGTACAGTGCTGGGACAAGGAAGGTGAGAAGAGGAAAGAATCTCTAATCGATGCAGAAATGGGGCTCAGTGGATCTATTCATTGTGTGTTTACTAGGAAGCTTGGGGGAGGGGCTTTATTAGGAATTGGAAGAGCTTCCTCCCTCAGAAGTACTGAAGTAAACTCAGGAGCCTGGTTTCCAGCCCAGGCATCCTATCCCACCCCACCCCAAACTCCCTACTGTTGATCTCTGTCTGAGCAGAGTTATCCTAGGAAACAGGGATATTAATAAATCCTTTATTATGTTATGTTATTACGTTTAGGGAGGAAAGAGACATAAAAGAGGGGGCAGGTGGAGCAAGCCTAAAAGTACACAGAGTACACAGAGCCATTTACCATACAATGGCCTTCAGCATCTTCTTGGGTAAGCTGTGGGCCCAGCAGACTGCTCTGGTTTGCCCATTTAATTTTCTTTTTTTTTTTTTACTGTTTAAAATTATGTTTTTATTAGTGCATTATAATTATACATAATAGTGGGATTCATTGTGACATTCATACATGCTCATAATATAATTGTGGTGGGCCCATTTTCATAATGAGGACAACACAGCCCATTGTGGCTTTGGAGCCCTGACAAGGCTGAGTGATTTGCTAAAGACAGAAATGCTTAACGAGCTGCTTTCCTCCTTTCCTATTGATCTTACCTGCAGAGAACTGGTGTTGTACAGGCACATCCCTGCCTTTTCTGCTGCCGCCCTTCTTATCTTCATCAAGATAAGAAGGCTTGATCTCTCTTAGAGAAAGTATAATTTTGGTGCTTAGCTTTGTATCATCCTTAACTCTTGATAACTCAGAATGTAGCCATCAATCAAATCCCACATGAAATCTAGTTAACAGGGAATAGGGCTTTTCAACATAATCTTGAGTGTTTTCAATGACTTTACCTAGTAGTTCCTAAGCAAGCAACATAGGCTCATACACAGGTTATAAGACTGATAGCAACACTGGGACATAAGAAGAGAGATTGTTTCCAGGAGTGATGGGTCCCTGTCAGTAACAGTCACATGAAAAGGATATCAGCTGCATAAGCCCTATTTATCAAGCCCAGACACCATAACTCTGCTTGCCCTTTCCTGCAGTCCAAGTCAGGGGAAAGTGACTAAAGCCCAGGCAGTTCAATCTGGGAAAGTAGGTGATTCCAGAGTCACCTGTCCTCTCCTTGGGCTCACACTTTCTACAGCGTGAAATACGTCTTTGCAAAGTGTCTGACCTCATCATCCATCTCAGTCCAAATATTTATGCAAACCAAATATATCTCCTGGTAGTTAATCCTCCAAGAAGATTTGCCTGTAATCTTCTCATTTTCGGTTGATTTAAAATGTGAGAAACTGCCCATGTGTTAGAAAATGCAAAAAAACAATGCCATATGTTTGGGGTCCATTTAACTCAAGCTGTGATATGTATTCTACACATGGAGATTTATGCCACAATTCCTGCTTTTGGATAACCATTAAAGCTTGGAATCTTTGCAGGACACTCACCCAGGAGGCATATTGGCCCAGCAGGAAGTTTCCACATGGAGCAAAACTGACAGGAAACAGTGGAGATGGGATTTGTTCTTTTGGAAACTAAGACGATATTTTCCTTGCTAGACCATCTGCAAGTTTCAGTAAGTATATCATGTGGGCTTTGCTCAGTTTATTAAGACACTGGCTGCTGGAAACAAGATTAGACATGTTAGACTAACAGTAATACAGAGCCAATGAGGTTCATAAGAGCAATGTGCTCCTCACTCCTGCAATCAGTTCCTATCTGCACACAGGAGTCAAGGGAGAAATTCCTCTAGATGGTGAGGTAGTAGATTGTGTGTGCATCTGTACCAGCTTCATTTTGGGTTTCCCCAGAAGCATGACCTGAGACAAAGATTCAAGACAACTTAAGAGGCAAAGGAAACCACAAGAAACAGGAGAGGAAGTGAGCCAATAAAGAATGTGTTATCAAACTAGGTTCCACTGTGGGCACCCAAAATAAAATCCCAATGGGGAACTATGGAAGCCAGTATAGAAAACTCACCACAGAGTTGCTCCAACTGAGGGTGAGGGAGGTGAAGTATCTATACACAGATACCTATGAGCTCTTGGTTATGAACTGTTCCCCAGTGATGTTAATTCTCCAGGAATTCCAATCTACCACATGGGTGGCAAAGCAGCCTACAGAGGCCAGATAAAGTCCTACTGGCAAAGAAGTTTAGGCACCAGCAATTAGTAGTCGGGTAGCATGTAACTGAGTGGTAAAGCAGAGAAAGAATGGTCAGGTCAAGGTTAGCATCTACAACACCTGTTCCCAGGCAAACTTCACAAAACACACACTAATCAAGGCACTGTCCCGTGTGTGATTCAAGGACCACCTGCCTCAGAATTTCTGGGGTGCTTGTTATAAGCACAGATTCTTGGACCCTATCCCAGAACAGTTTGAATGAGATTCACTGGAATAGGGCTTGGGAATCTGCATGTTTTGCAAACATTCCAGGTGATTCTGGTGATGTTCACTAAAATTTGAAAATTACTACATTCAGGAAATCAGTCTCCTACAGTCAGTCAGTGCATTTTTAAAAATTTTGCTTGCAAAGCCTAAGGAGGCAGAGATTAGTTCAGTGATCGAGAGCTTGCCTAGTATGTGTGAGGCCCTGAGTTTGATCCCCAGCACTACACTCATACAAAAAAAAATCAGGAGCCCTGGGAGCATATACCCATGCTATCCACACCTGCTCATGGCCACAAATGCTCCCTTTTCATTTATATTACTCTCTGTTTACATAGAGTAATATTCCATCTGGTGTTTTCTGAGGAGAAAAAGAGGTCAAGTTCCTGCTCTAACTTTGCCATTAACAACTCATAACGTCTTTATATCATCATTTTTAATATTTCTGCATTGTAATTCCTTATCTATAAAG